TGTGTGGTATTCTATCACTTTCAATATGAGCACGACCACGAAATTGCTGCGTTGAAGAATGCTCTTCCGGGCGAGGGGGACCCCAACGCGGCCGGCGTTGCCCAGAGTAACGACAAGATGCTCTCCGTTCAGAAAAACAACGAGAACAGGAGTCTGAAGACGAACCGGCTCTTCCCCACTCCGAACAAGCCAGACCCGATGCCGCAGAACTTGGCATTCCTCTTCACCAAGATCACGCCGGACCGGAGTGCTGTAGTTGATACTAGTTTTGGTTCGCTAGCTTCATGTACACTGTACAAGAAACAGATTGGGATGTGTCCGTAAATTTGGCACACTTCGGCACGTGACCCCCCCAACAAGTCGATTTTTAGGAGCAGATGATCTACATGCCGCTTTATCATATCTGGGTAACTTTTTACGTTGTTATGAGTACTTAAACTCAAGAAGGAAGAGCAATTTATATTTTCAGTACTTAGGTGGAATGTGCTTACGGCAATTTTCTTCACCCAAGTGCTGATGGTGGTCGGCTACTGTGCAGCCTTGGCATGCTTTCCAGACTACTGGTGGACATGCACGCTCTGCTTCGGGCTCCCATTCTCGTACATTGCCATCCAGAACATTTACATTGATCACGATGTGATGCACGGTGCAACTTTCCCGGTTTACGAATGGCAGCGCTTCTTGACTCACCCATTTGCTGACTTTGTATCACTTCCGTGGGAGGAGTTCGTGCTGGAGCACAACAGGCATCATGCCTCAACTGTGGACTTGCTGATCCAGGGCGAGTTCGGTTGGGACCCCGAGGAGTTCCACTATGCCCTGCAGCAGTGGGCCGGGCCATGGGGCTCTAACTGGTACAAGTACCTGCTCACCGTCCCGTTCATCCCGGTGATCCACTTTTTCGGCTTGAATGATACCGGCTCGCTCTTCGCCCTGGAGTGGTGGATGCACTTCCCCGACGAAGGTGCGGGTGGAAAGTGCAACAAGGAGTTCTGGAGCAAGTGGATTCCACGCCGCATCAAGCACAACACTTTTGTGCTTTCCCTCTGGGCTTGCATCTGGCTTCTGGGCACCTACCCTCTGGGCCGTCCGCTCAGTGAGGGGTGGCGATTCATGTTCACTGTGTCTTTCTTCGCTCGCATCGGCTACTCTGCGGCCTGGATGTTCATCACCAACTTTACACATAGTTTACCTTGGAACGAGTTCCTCGCGCAGGATCCGGGCCGCACCTGGCCTGTCCTTCACAACGTGATGGCCATGGTCCTGGGAGGAAAGCACCGCTGGAACGAAATGCTCTTCCACGACGTCCATCACGCTTTTCCCAATGCCGTAGGCACGCTGAGCCAGCGCGGCCGCTTCCACGGCTGGGAGAAGGTTCATGATGCAGCTGCAGAAGTCCTGCACCGAGGGCTGTGGAAGCCCAACGGCGATGAGGAGACCCAGATGCAGAAGACTCAGAAGAAGCGATCCATGATGATGCAGCAGGGCAGGTGAGTGACTCTTAGATTTTCGCTTCGTCCAGCAAAGGGCTGCTCTATGACAGCAGCCTGGCAGAAGCCCCTCTTGTACAGGGCCTCTTGCGAAGGGCCTAGCTTGTACAGAACCTTTGCTTAGCTTCCGAGCCCGAAACCCTAAACCCGAAACCCGAAACCCGAAACCCTAAACCCTAAACCCTTAAACCCTAAACCCTAAACCCTGAAACCGCGGGAAGGCCCAGCTCAGACTGACCTATGTCGCGCCTGGCTGGACTCGTCTCACGAAGGAGCCCGGACAGGAGATGCCGGAAGAAAGGAATGCAGGGGCGACGACTTCCTCATGGGGACCCTTAAGGGGGGTAGTAAGGGGCCTTAGTTCCAGCAAGAAGGCCTAGTCTTTAGGAAGTCACCCTAAGCCCTGAACCCTAAACCCTAAACCCTGAACCCTAAACCCTAAACCTTGAACCCTGAACCCTAAACCCTAAACCCTAAACCCTAAACCCTAAACCCTGAAGTGCATCCCCAGCTGGCTTGGCAGGCTCGTCGACCACCGGTCCCGAACCTCAAGGCGCTCTGGGGCGAGTTTTTTCGGTTTTCGGATTTCGGGGGTTTCCGAAAATAGGGGACCCTAATATAGTACCCCAAATAATAGGATCCTTATTATAAGGACCCAAAATAAGGTACCCCTAATTTTCGGAAACTCCCATTTCGGGTTGCTCATCAGAACGAAGTATATCATATGTTTCGAGGATGCAGTATGTTCATGTACTAGGTACTAGACTATACTACGATAAGATGCGGTAGTACGATATAATATACTGCAACATATTATTCCGCAGGCTCATGAACAATTATCGACGATGATGGTGCTGATTGGGAAATGATGGTGCTGATTGCTCAGCATGACTTTGGATTTGCCAGGATGATGATCGCGACGATGACGGCGATGTTGGTGCTGCTGCTGATGATGATGATGGTGACGGTAATGACGATGATGATGACGATGATGGTGATGATTGCGAGATGCTGTTGGGTTTATTTGATGTTGATGCTGATGCTTTAGTTGAGGATGCTTCTTGTGATGGTGGCGTTGATCGCAGTCTCTGATGGGTCGGGTGACGGTGGTGGTGGTGGTGGTGGTGGTGGTGGTGGTGATGGTGATGACGATGATGAGGACGAGGAAGACACGACCGTGCTGGTGGTCGTTGTGGGGGTGGCGGCTGCCGTTCTGGTGGTGGTATTTTGTTGTGGCGATGATGTCAGCGGCGTGGGGGAAAGAGGAGGGTGACGATGCCCGTGCTGATAACGTCCTAACCCTAAACCCTAAACCCTCTAAGCCCTAAGCCGGGCAGAACTCTAAATGCGCTCAACCGCTTGAAATCCATGTTCTCAGCCCGCTGTCTACGCTGTCGTCGTTGTTGTTGTTGGCGGTGGAGCATATGGCAAAGACGAACAAAATTGGATGATGATGATGATGATGACGACGATGGCGATGATGATGATAACGATGGCAGTGCTTCTGGTGGTGGTGGTGGTGGTGGTGGTGGTGGTGGTGATCGTTGGTGATGGTTGTGTTGTTGGTGGACGTGCGGAAAGCGGTGTTGGTCTTGAAGACGTTGTGGCGGAGTTTGGGATCAGGGTCATGATGGTGATCCCGATTATGATGATTACGATGATGCTGATGACGACTATGATGATGCTGCTGCTGATGGTGATGATGTGGCTGCCGCGGCTACTGCTCGTAGTGTTGATGCTGCTGCTGCTGCTGCTGCTGCTGCTGCTGCTGCTGCTGCTGCTGCTGAGGCTCATGAAGAAGCATGATTGTGATCGGGAAGATAATGGTGACCGTGAGGTTGTTGACGATGACGGTGTTACAAGGCCTGTTCACGGCTTGATGGTGGTGCCAAGGGTCCTGGTTACTTTTCCTTCGCATGTGTTGTTGCTGTCAGACACTGGGTAGCAGCTTTAGCGGAACAGAGTTTCCAGCGCTCAAGCAGACCACAAGTTCTTGTGAACGCCCACAAACGAACTAAGCATTTTCCAGCCTCGCGGCAGACATCGGCAGACCCTGGATATCACTCGCAAGAGTCTCTCACGCCCAGTTTGCTGTCGCGCGGACGATGGCAAGCTTTCGAATGCCAGACGAGTCCGAACAGCATGCTGCTACATGGATGGTGCTAAAGGCATCCAAGGCCATCTGGGGTGGTGATCTTGCACCCTACGTTGAGAAGGACCTGGTAGAGATCGCCAAGACGATCGCCAAGTATGAACCGGTCACTTGGGGGCTTTTAGCCCTGTTTCGGTGCACATGACACTGCCATACCTTTCCTTAGGATAGACTTTGTTTGGGGCTGGGCTACACAGCCCCGAAGGTCAAAGTTCTCGTCGCGGCAAAGGATCGCCCACGGCTCGGCCGACTCTTGGAGGGCGCGGAGAACATCGAGGCGGGGGAGAGTTCGTCGTCTGGTTGCTGCTATTCCCTAAACCCCCGGTTACCTACTATATAGGGGTTTAGGGTTTAGGGTTTAGGGTTTAGGATTAGGGGGTACTAGAGCCCCTAATTAGGGCCCTTTTTAGTAGGTACCTGGGGGGTTAGAGATTATTCCCGACAAGGTCCGTGAAGGAACCTCACGCTGCACCCTCAACCCTAGGCCCTAAACCCCTAAACCCCAAAGGTCCCAAAGGTCCTAAAGGTCCTAAAGGTCCTAAACCCCTAAACCCCAAACCCCAAAGGTCCTAAAGGTCCTAAACCCTGCGAAGCCTGAGGTGCTTGAGGCAGAAGCGGACGACCTTTGGGTCCGTGACTCGGGTCCCGTCTTCACTGTCAGCGAAGCCGGGGTACTCCGGGCCGTGAAGTTCAACTTCAACGGTTGGGGCAAGAAGCAGAGGCATTCTCTGGATAACCAGCTTGCGAAGAAGATCGCCGATCTTGCTGGTGTCGAGCTTCTCACATCTTCTCTCGTCCTGGAGGGTGGTGGGATCGAGGTCGACGGGGATGGAACTGCCATAATTACGGAGAGCTGCGTTCTGAACGTCAACCGGAACCCAGGCGTGACGAAAGAAGCAGCCGAGTCTGAATTAAAGTCCCTCCTGGGCCTTCAGAAGATCATCTGGTTGCCTGGAATTGCCGGAAAAGACATCACCGACGGGCACACCGACTTCTACGCGCGCTTCGTGAAGCCCGGCACCGTGGTGGCAGCCCTTGACCCCGACCCCCGGTCCTTCGACAAGGCCGTGACGGAGAGGCACCTGGCCCTCCTGCAAGAGGCAAGCGATGCGAAAGGCCGGAAGATCGAGGTAGTCCCGCTTCCTGTGCCATCCAAGGTAAGGAGGAAGTCGGAAGACTTTGCTGCTGGCTATGTGAACTTTTACGTCACGAACGGAGCGGTTCTGGTACCAGAGTTCGGTGATCCTGTGGCCGATGGGCAGGCTATGAAACTGCTGCAGCGATTATTTCCCGGGAGAGTTGTGGAGCAGCTGAATATCGACAATGTGGCAGAGGGTGGGGGAGGAATCCACTGCGTGACCCAGCAGCAGCCCGCAGGCGTCTCATGACAGCCCTTACGAACTCGGGATATGGAGGTCTTTGTGGGTTGGGGATTTTGGATTTAAAGTTATAGTTTGGGTTCGGGGTTTAGGGTTTAGGGTTTTCGTTGGCTGTATGTATTCCGAGCCCGAGCTCGCTCCACTGCCGGTACATGCTGGCTCCTCGCCCCAAAAAGAATGCTTCCGGGGCAGTGGAGCTTAGTGAGAGGAGGTTCGAGAGGAGTGTAAAGGAATCCCGTGAACCCGAAGCAGAAAGCACGCAGCTACAATACTTCTTCTAGGGTGAGGACCTCTGCGACTGCTGCAGTACTTTTGCTTGCGCTGATGAGTTTGCATAGTAGTGAGTTCTGTAGTGACCAACCGCCGTATACATAGATGGCGGATGAAAGTTGCGTTGATGACGATGGTGATCGTGCCAGTGATGATGGTGATAGCGCTGGTGGCGTTGTTGATGATGTAGTTATTGTTGATGATGATGACGACTTTGTTGTTGATGTTGATGATGATTGAAAGTACGGCAACGTTGATGAAGACAATGAGTATTGATCATAAGAAGAATATGATGCTGGTGATGCTGGCGATGTTGACGGTGATGATTGGGTGATGATGGTTGTGATGAGGATGTCATCAGACAATGATGGGGATGATGACGATTATGATGATGACTGTGACGATGGCGCTGTTGACGATGACCATCAGAAAGGCGAAGAAACAGATGATGATACTATGACGACGATGATGAGCATGAGGATGATGATGATGATGATGAAGATGCCGATGATGATGATGATGATGATGCTGCCGATGATGATGATGATGATGATTATGATGATGATGATGCCGATGGCGACGACCGCAATTATGATGACGGTGATGATGATGATGGTCATGATGATGGTGATGCTGGTGATGATGATGATGATGATGAAGGAGATGATGTTGGCGAAGAAGCCGATTAAGGTGATTTTGCTGATGAGGTTGACGGTGATGAAGTGGATGATGGTGATATTGATGGTGTGGGTGCTGATGATGGTACAGATGGCAACAAATTGTTTGTGATAATGTTGTTGGTCTTGGTCTTACGGTGATGAATGACGACGAAGAAGACGACGATTGTGGTGATGGTGAGTAGATGATGATACCGACGATGGTGATTATTTTTATGAGATGGGTGTACGATGGTGTTTTCCATGAGCAGATTGATGATTTGCTCGCTGTTGAGGGTGATGATGATGATGGTGGTGATGATGATGATGAGGATCATGATGATCATGTTGAAGATGACGTGGATTCTGTTGTGGTGGTGGCTGTGGTGGTGGTGGTTGTTGTTGTTGCTGCTGCTGTTGTTGTTTCGGCAACGGAGAATACGATGACGATGACGATTTCGATGGTGATGATGGCGGTGATGATGCTAACGGCGCGGATTAGGATAGCTACAAAGTGATATTTTGTTGGCCTCTACCATGGTGATGATCGCCTTCCTTCGGGCTCGTGCCAGGGTGCTACAGCCTCAGCTTCGGCCGACAGCCTAAACATAAAACCCTTCAGTTGAAGAAAGTGATGTTGCCTGGAGTCCTCGACCGGAGGTTTCCGTTGAGGCAGTTGTTTGGAAGGGACTTTGCGGAGGGCTTCGAAAACGCTCGACCTCCGCACCCCTAAACCTAAACCCTAAACACCCTGAACCCTGAAGGCACCGAATCGGGGGTTTGCACTGCAGGTCACCTGAACATCGATGCGCCGGCCTTTGTGCCAAAGGAGGAGCTTCGGAAAGCTCCATGTGTCAAGGGGCCTGGAAGAAAGACCAGTGCGGTGTGGATGCAATTGACTGAAGCTCATGTGGACAGCCTTTAGGCTTAAGGGTGCTATCAGGGAGTCCCAGTTGGTTTTCGCGGGCCAAGCCGCTGAACTCGGGGATTCGGTAGGTTGTGACACTCAAGCTGCACGGTTTCGCCCTGTTTCGGCCATGTGGTGCTGGTGTTCGAGGGTCGACGTCCCTAGCTCGGGTTTAGGGTTTAGGGTTTAGGGTTTAGGGTTTAGGGTTCAAACCTTGGGTCGATCAGGCCGATAGCTAGAAGAGCTCGCCACTGGCAGGACTCCTCTGACGTCTATGACGATAGACGAAGTTGTTAGATTCAGGTGGCATCCACCACAACAGAGAATGCAAAGCCGGAATGCTCTGCTGCCCCAATCCTGAGGCCGGAATCCGCAGAGGCTACGTACATGTCATGATGATGACGGAAGTGTAAGCCACAAGTGCTTTCATTGTTTGTGTATATGGGTTTCAGGTGGTTTTGCAATATAACATCAATGCACTTAATGAGCTATAGTTCAATACAGCACGCACGAGGTAGTTATTGTCATTAGTCATGATTCTGTTTGCCCACACACAATAACCTCCATTGGCGGAAGGAGGGCCCCGATGTGGTGGACTTGTTCCCGCCTCGGATTCTCAGGCTTTTCACCCTAAACTCCGCAAGCCCCCAACTGAACACATTATTAACGTTAGATTAACATAACATTTTTGATATGTCATATGTGTCTGACTATATTATCATAGTATGCTACTATAATGAAAGCTATAATGCTCATCTATGAGTCACCCTTTTCAGTCCCTTGAGAAGAACATCGTGAGCCCCAAGGCTTTAGGGAGCTCGAGCCTCGGCAGGGACCTCCTTTTCCCCACGACTCGATTCGAGGACCATGGCTTTTCGAAAGAGCAAAAACAGCAAACCGTCAAAAACCCTAAATTAAAAGCCCCAAAGCACAAAAACGATAACAAGATCCAAACTGCTTAGGCCTAAATCCTCAAGGCTCAAAAAGAAGCCCAAACCCTCAGCCCCAACGCCCTGTGAAGCCCGGGCTGAAGCTCTGAACGGGGCGATCTGCTTCGGCTTAAAAGTTGGATCTTGTTGGGCCGAAAAGGACTTCAAGAATGCTCGGTGTCGCCAAGTTGGAGATCCCGACCGACCGAGGAACCAGAACGAGTCAAGAAAAAAAACAAGGAGAATCACGCACCCAAGCAATTCACTCCAGCACCAAAATCACATCCCTGCAGGTGTTTCTTCGCTAGTCTTTGCTCGAGGCTCTGTGCAACGTTGGTGTAGATGGAGCGTTTTCGGCCATGCATGCCACAGCTGACTATGCGAAACACAGAAGGCAATCGTCTATTGACTGAACAGCACTGGCTCTCCAGCGCCATGGATGCAGCTTTTGGGCGAAGGGCATGTGCCTACCAACCTTGCCGGCACCCCACAAAGCACATTGCTCGTCGACCTCGGCTTGCTTTCTGCATCCGGACCCAAAATCGTCTTGTGATGCCGCGTTCGGCGAGGTTGTGCTTGTGGCGCATCCGTTTGGTGCTTGATGCCTCCTCCGCTGCTGGTGCATTGCAGCAGTTGCGGTGAGCCCGCTAGCCGCTTTGGTGACGTGATTCGACTGTTTGTTGCATGGGGTTCTGATCCAGGCTGTTGAAGATTCTTTGCACCTTCCCACCGACCTTCCCACCGGAATCAACATGACTTGTACAGTAAGGTGCGCACCGTCCTACCCGACCAGACGAAAACCTTCGACCCTAGAGCCTTGAAAGCCCTTGAACTCACCAAAGCTTCCCGAAACCCTACACCCTACACCCTAAACCCTAAACCCTAAACCCTAATCCCTAATCCCCAAACCCTAAACCGATGCAAATCGGATGTCTTCGGTGCCCCTTCGGCTCCCCTCGGCGCGCAGCCGAGGCTTCCAAACCATCACAGGGCCCGTCTTCGACAGTTCTACCAGGCCGGGGCGCTCCTGAAAGGGTCTCCGAGGGTTGGTTTCCGGGGCTTGGGGCCATCTTTTGGGGGGGAGTGGGGGATATGGGCGGGGGGGGAAGGGGGGGGAACTTAAAGTTTAGAGATTTTTTGGAGTATCAAGCCTTGCGGATTTCGATGTGCCCAGCTTTTCAGGTCGGGTCTTTGAGGTCTCGGGTTTAGCAACACAGGGCCATGGGCCGTCTGCTTCAACGGGCCCCAAAGCAGCGCCCCATCGCCCGCAGTAGCGGGACCTTGGTGTAGCTGTCATCCGCTGCACCCACCTGGAGGCATACAACGGGACCTACTGCGGCTACTACGCATCTTGGCTTTATCCACGCTGCAGCTATGCTCGTTTGTATCAGTATGAGACTATGTGCATATGCACAGATAGGATGTCAGTCTTTGACTGCTAACTCCCGCTTTGCAAAACCACCTCAATATGCATGTTACATGTGGATTGCCTTGTTCTGTGTAGAGTGTAGACTCTAAGGTTCACAGAGCACAGAGATCCTACCTGATATAGGTGCCTTAGCAATTAGAATAGGGTTTGGGGGTATATTATACCATAATTATAAAATGGAGTCCCCAGAACCCCAATTCTAAATATGGGACCCCCAAAACCCTATTCTAACTCTTCAGGCCCTTACACTACAGCCACTACAGCCAAGATATGCCAAGTGCGGTAATAAAGGAGTCTCGGGCTTAAGGCCCCCCAAAAAACGAGCGCAGTGAAGCAGCAACCCCCGGACCACGCGACGACGCTTAGGAAGGAACCCGAAACCCTAAACCCTTAAACCCCAAAACCCTACACCCTAAACCCTAAACCCTTAAACCCTACCACCCTCTAAGGTGGGCACACTGAAGAGCTACAACGTGCGAAACGGCTACGGCTTCTTAGAGCCCCTCGCTCGCATCAAAGCCTT